ACCACTGATTGGCCACTGTGAATGCCCCTTGTCATCTCTCCTAACAGCGCTCTTATTATTGTGAGACTCCCGGGGGCAGACCATAGGGGCAGACGCAACATCTTGCTAGAAACAGCGTCTCAAGGCTTCTTAACATTTAACAATATATTAATGATGCATACCCACTTAACGGGAAAAACTCAGCTAACAGACGATATTAACCATTTGAGCTACACGGAACAGAAGTCCAACACCAAGAGTCTAAATCAACACTTAGCAAAACGGGCTAACAGGGCTAACAGGGCTAACGGCTACTTTAGCACATAACTGGCAAAAGCGATATTTTCTACGTCATTTTATCTGCACAAACAACATATCACATGAAAGCTGATTCCATTGGTCTAAGTCTCATCACTGTACAACCAAAACTCACTGAACTAGGAGCCAGGAAAGAGCAAGAAAACATCTTCACTTTACGTAGCCATGATGATAGTTATGTCTTATCTTTGCTGTTTTGTGATAAAAAGTTGTGTTTAAGGGCATAAAAACAGTTAATCCAATGTCTCTGTGTAACTTTAAAATAATTACTGATAATCCATCATTACAATTATAAATAATAAACGCAATATAATGGTTAGCCGACCGGAGCTTCCGGTTTAGGAGGTGCGTACGCAGCATCTCGTTTTAACTGAATAATGGTCATGTTTACATGAATTTATTAACCTAATTACAGCCCCCCTTCCAGAGACACACTGTCAAACACAAACATTGAAAAAGTTACATTAAATAATAAATACAAATAAATTACAATAAAATGACTGTTGTTTAATCTTCACATCTTGTAATCATGTCTATAATTTTGAGCACCAAATTATCAAAAAATACCGATACCGATAAGCAGTACCGGTATCGGTATCGATAAAATCCTAACGATACCCATTCCTACTCATAAGTGTACGTGGTACCAGAGCACCCTAGGCAAAAGGTCCATGATCGATTTCGTTATTGTATCATCGGAGATGAGGCCGTATGTTTTGGACACTCGGGTAAAGAGAGGGGTGGAGTTGTCAACTGATCACCATCTGGTGGTGAGTTGGGTTGAGTGGCGGGGGAAGCCTCTGGACAGACCTGGTAAGCCCAAACGTGTAGTGCGGGTGAACTGGGAACGTCTGGAGGAGGCCCAAGTTCAGGAGGCCTTCAACTCACACCTCCGGCGGAGCTTTTCGGGCATTCCTGTGGAGGCTGGGCACATTGAACCAGAGTGGTCGGTGTTCAAAGCCTCTAATGCCGAAGCCACAGCTGGGAACTGTGGTCTCAAGGTCTTAGGTGCCTCAAGGGGCAGTAACCCTCGAACCTCCTGGTGGACACCGGTGGTCAGGGAAGCCGTCCGACTGAAGAAGGAGGCCTTCAAGGATTTGTTATCCCGGGGGACTCCCGAGGCAGTTGCAAGGTACCGACAGGTCCGAAGGGCAGCAGCCTCAGCCGTGGCCGAGGCAAAGCAGCGGGTGTGGGAGAAGTTCGGAGAAGACTTGGAAAAGGACTTTCGGGCGGCACCAAAGTTGTTCTGGAAAACTGCCCGACACCTCAGGACGGGGAAGCAGGGAACCATCCAAGCTGTGTACAGTAAGGATGGGACACTGTTGACCTCAACTGATGGAGTGTTAGGGTGTTGGAAGGAAACATTTGAGGAACTCCTGAACCCGACAACTCCGCCCTCTATGGTAGAGGCAGAGCTGGAGTATGACGGGGGATCAAATCAAATCAGGTTTTATTTATAAAGCACATTTTAAAACGATTTTTGGTCGAGCCAAAGTGCTGTACATGCAAATAATAAATAACACATTACTACAATAGCAAAACAGAAGACAATAAATTACAACAGCAAATATAAAAATCAAACACAGGGAAATGTCAGGAATCGTACTCCGCTCTGACTAAAAGGCCAGGGAGAAGAAGTGAGTGTTTAGTGTTGATTTAAAAACCCCTAGGGTCTGGGCCGACCTCACATGGCAGAGTGTTCCAGAGCCTGGGGCCAGCTGCTGCGAAGGCTCGGTGCCCTCGGGTTTTGAGCCTGGTCTTGGGCACTACCAGCAGCAGCTGGTCAGCAGACCTTAAAGCTCTGGCTGGGGTGTAGCGCTGGAGGAGTTCGGCTATATAGGCTGGAGCCAGCCCATTTAGTGCTCTAAAAACAAATAAAAGGATTTAAATCAATTCTGAACCGAATTGGAAGCCCGTGCAGTGAGGCCAGAATTGGGGTGATGTGGTCACGCTTTTTGTGGCCAGTCAGAAGACGTGCAGCTGCGTTCTGCACTAGCTGCAGGCGTCTAATTGATTGGTCCATACCCACATACAGAGCGTTGCAATAATCCAACCTTGTGGTTACTGAAACTTTTCATGAATGCCATGCGTGGTTAAAAAAGACTGCAGCTGGACATAGACTACTCGCTCCAGGGCTTTATATAAAAAAAGTAGCTGGGAGATGGGCCTAAAATTTGCGAGAATGTAGGGGTCGAGATTTTTCTTTTTAAGCAGTGGCTGCACCACGGCATGTTTGAAGGCAGCTGGGACACATCCTGAGCTAAGAGAGGTGTTTATAAGCAATAAAACACTTGCTCCAACTGAATTGAAAACATCTCTGAGAAGGCGAGAGGGAATGCTGTCTGAGGTGCAGTTTGTCGGCCGCAGGTGCTTGACTACATCCGAGGGAGAAGAGAGGGATACAGGCTCAAAGTGGTCGAGGACAGCAGGGCACAGAAAAGGAACAGGATTTGGGGTAGCACTAGTGTGGGCTAGCCTAAGTGCAGATACTTTTTCGATAAAAAATTTAAGAAACTTATCACAGAGAGTAGTCGATGGCACAATTGAAGAAACAACCAATCTCCCGGGGGGAGGTCACTGAGGTAGTCAAACAACTCCACAGGGGCAAAGCCCGGGGGTGGATGAGATCCGCCCAGAAATGCTGAAGGCTCTGGGTGTTGAGGGACTGTCATGGTTGACACGTCTCATCAACGTTGCGTGGAAGTCGGAAACAGTACCGAAGGAGTGGCAGACCGGGGTGGTGGTTCCCCTTTTCAAAAAGGGGGATCAGAGGGTGTGTGCCAATTATAGAGGCATCACACTACTCAGCCTCCCCGGGAAAGTTTACTCTAAGGTACTCGAAAGGAGGGTCAGGCCAATTGTCGAACCTCAGATTGAGGAGGAACAATTCGGATTCCATCCTGGTCGTGGAACGACTAATCAGCTTTTTACTCTTGCAAGGATCCTGGAGGGGGCCTGGGAGTACGCTTATCCGGTCTACATGTGTTTTGTAGACTTGGAGAAGGCGTATGACCTGTTTCCCAGGGAGTTACTGTGGGAGGGGCTGCAGCAGTATGGGGTGAGGGGGTCTCTACTCAGGGCCATCCAATCTCTGTACTCCCAAAGCGAGAGCTGTGTCCGGGTCCTCTGCAGTAAGTTGGACACTTTTCCGGTGAGGTTTGGCCTCCGCCAGGGCTTGTAACCATATTCGTGGTTCTAATGGCTTCATCGGTCTGCGACCTTCAGCACTCACTGGATCGGTTCGCAACCGAGTGTGAAGCGGCTGGGATGAGGATCAGCACCTCCAAATCTGAGGCCATGGTTCTCAGCAGGAGAACGGACTGTCCACTCCAAGGAGGGAATGAGTCCTTACCCCAAATGAAGGAGTTCAAGTATCTTGGGGTCTTGTTCTTGAGTGAGGGAACAATGGAGCTTGTGATGGGCCGGAGAATCGGAGCAGCGGGAGCGGTACTGCAGTCGATTTACAGCACCGTTGTGACGAAAAGAGAGCTGAGCCAGAAGGGGGGGATCAGAGGCTCCTGAGGGAGGTGTTCCAGGCACGTCCAGCTGGGAGGAGACCAAGGGGTAGACCTAGGACCAGGCGGAGGGATTATATCTCTTCGCTGGCCTGGGAGCGCCTTGGGATCCCCCAGTCAGAGCTGGTTGATGTGGCAAGGGAAAGAAAAGTTTGGGGCACTCTGCTGGAACTGCTACCTCCGCGAGCCGACCACGGATATGCGGGAGAAGATGGATGGATGGATGGATGGAATTGTATTAGTGCGTGTAGTACAGCATTCTGAATAATAAAGATTGCGTAGTTCAATTATGTGGTAACTGCAGTGTCAAGAGTCCAGGAAAAACATTTTAAATGTTCTGTGCAAAGAGATATAACCTGTAGAGCAAATTATCTTTACTGCAATAACTATGACTATATAAGCACCACTAAAAACTATTTAGATTATGTATTTAGTAACCTAAATATGATGATCATCGATAGACACTGAACATGTATTGTGTGTGCCAGGTGTGATCCATGTGGGGTGATGGGCACATAAGGAGGGAAACACATCTAAATAGTAAATCGGTCAGATTTGACCCGAACACAACAGGAGGGTTAAATCTATACCAAATAATCCTATTTTAAACATTTCTTCCAAGTATTGTGAGCCAAAATCTGAATTTATAAAAGAACTAGTGAATACATCTTTAAAATAAATATTGTGGGGTAAAAAGTACAAAGTTGGCCTCCAAAGTGTTGTAGAGTAGAAGTATAAAATGAAAATACTTGGGTAAACTAAGAGTACCTCAAATGTGTACTTAAGTACAGTACTTGAGTTAATGTTACTTTCCACCACTGAATATAAGAATAACATGTCAGATCTCCACCATCTCTCGTAAATTAGGGAGCAAAGGATAATGAAAGAATGGAAACAACACATATACCTGTCTGTGCCTTAATATCAGATTCAAATGTTTAATATTTAACATCTGCTGACAACGAGCCAATTATATATTCTCCTCCATAAAAAGACGCAGTTTTAAAATGTTTAATTACATTTCAAAATAGTTACCTTTCTGAAAGCCAGTAACACATACAGTGTCTTTTATATTCCGCCTTTAAACATGGCATGTTGTGTTTTTTATGCATCCAAAGTCATTATTGGTGATAAGATTCCTTCTTGTTTTTGAAATCTTGTCATCAGTTACTGTTTTAAATCCCACAGAAAAAAATGACACAGGGACAGAAACGAAAAAAATTATCCCGATGATCTTCAACTTGTCGGAGATACGTAAAAGTGTGGGGGATTATCGCCTGCTGACCAGTGCGGAGCTACGGATACTCATCAAGGGCACCAGCATACAAAATGAGCAGCGGGTGGAGCTGTACCAGGGTCTGGGGAAAGCGCGTCGCCACCTCGTCTCCCGCTTCGTCTCCAATGTCTGGAAAGACAAGTGGATGTCCTTCGATGTCACTGAGAGCCTGCAGACGTGGCTCAAAGGGACTGGTGAGAAAAAATAACTTTATTTACACTTGATATGACGCCTGTTCATTTCTTTAGTTCCACCTGTCTGCAGATACTAAAGATGATGTCGACCTTAACCAATAAAGTTTTTAATGGCTGTAACTGTTCTGTCTCACCAGAGGATGAGCAGGGCTTCGAACTTCGGCTGTTCTGTGAATGCGGCCTGAACAATTCCGAAGTCTTTGGTTTTAAAATCTCCGGTATTGACAACAGTAGGGGAGACAAATCAACTATGCAACTGTTGACAAAGCAACCACCCTACATCCTGACCATGTCCATCCCTCAGAACAGCAGCAGCCACCTCACCACGCGCCGAAAACGCTCCACGGACACCAAAGATACTTGTACAGCGTAAGCAATCCTGCAGATAGCAAATGTTTCTGTTGTAATTTATTTCAATAACATGTTTGAAGCTGAATCAGGCATTGCTACCCATTGTGAGATTTAACCATGGATGTATGAAGAGAACTGGATACAGTGTTGGAGGCGGAACCCGTTCTTACCTATGGAAGTTGCTCAGTGGCACATGGACTCTTGAGAGCAAAAGTACCCGTATCTGGGCCCATTGAGCGTGCAAAGTTTAGCTTTCCCTTCAAGCCACGCCTCCAATCTTCCGCTTTCGGCTACGTCAAATGAATGTAAGGGAGAAAACTTTTAGACCCTAATGACTTATTAAAGGGCTATAAAAGCGGTCACTTGGTTGATTTTGTTTTAATATATTACCCGGGCGCTGATTAACAGACGTCTCTTACTCAATGTAAGTCAATGGGAAAAAGTATTTTTGGGCCCAATGATGTCACAGAAGTTGTAGTACCACCGTTTGGCCACTACAAAGATTTGCTTCAACGTCCGGAGCACTTCCTGGGGGCTTGGTTTTAACACGTTGGGACAGGTGAAAGCACAACTCAAAGCTGTGTGGTAAATACACTGTATTTGTACAGCGCTTCTCAACCCCAGTAGGCCTCAGTACTTAATCTATCTACGCCAACCCTGTCTCCTACAAATTATGGTCCGATGCAATTTGACTACATTCTCAATTACATTTCAAGGGAAACATATTTTCTTCTGGATTACAGTCACAGTTATTAACATGTGTGTAACGTTATGACTTGAAACAAATGAAATACGCATCAGAAGTACTTGGTTCGGTTTTAGGGAAAGATCACGGTTTGGCTAGTATATTCCTACTCTGGGTGAAAGTCCTGTGTATGTTTGATCCATCAAACCAGACTCCACCCCAACAGCGTCTTCCACTGATTAGAAACATACTCCATCAATCAAAAACAAAGCGTCATCTGGGAGAAAATAGGTTTGCCTTGAAACGTTATTGAAAACGCATTTTTGTTGTACAAGAACGTTGTTTTTATGAGACCAGGCTGTCCACACACACTGTCTGGCTTTTAGGAGCAACTGGGGTCCAGACTCCACCTGCAAACTACTCGTTTACTGAACCCCAGCTGCACTTGAGCACATTGCATTTTACACTTTTGATTAGATTTGCTGCCCTTTATTGGACACTAAACCCTAACTTAGGGTGGGATAGACCTTGCATTATGTGCCTGCAAAATGTACACTGATGGGATGAGAGCAATCTTATATTAATTGATTTTGAAGATTTCCCTGCCACAGCAACTTTTCAACAACAACTGACAACTGCTATGCTTTCTCATCAAAAACGTTTCCCTGTTTTCTCTTTACGCAGTACTACGGAGACCTGCTGCGTGCGAAGCTTGTACATCGACTTCAGGAAAGATCTAGGCTGGAAGTGGATTCATAAGCCGACGGGCTACAATGCTAACTATTGCATGGGGTCCTGCACCTACATCTGGAATGCTGAAAACAAATATTCTCAGGTATACACCTCAAAGTAGTGGACTATCTATTTCTGATTCCATGGCTAAATGAAGGCACAGCAGAGTTAAGGTTCGGCAGCTCAGACGCAATCATTCTTAGAACTTAATGTTTTTCCGTTTATGGCTTCTAAAGGGCTGCTTTGATTCACACACCAGGATTGTGGAAGTGTTGTCACTGTTCATAAAGAGGGTTAAAATGACTGCTGAGCCGATCCTCCATTAGTTGGTAGACAGAAAAGGAACAATTCTAATAATTGATCATTATTTTTGGTCGAACATTTAGTGGTTCGAGCTTCCAAATAGAATTTGCTGATCGATGATTCTGATGGAAGGCCATTTCATTGATGATTTTTTTTCACATTTGAAAGATTATACAATACAAAATGTAAACAAATATATATCATTGTAATTGTTAATGACATAAATAATTTGTTACACACCCATTTCTAATAATAAAGCACGTACAAGACGGATTACTACATCAATGTCAAATGTTTTCATTTACAATAGCCTACTTCCCATTCAACATTTTGTTGCCAATACCAATATTTTAACATAAACACTCTGGTAACTTAAGCTTGTAACAATCAGTTTTTACTACACATGCATTGTGGGTTATGAAATACTGAGCTGAGATCACTTTTTGAGGATCCTTCTTTGGCATTCTGCCTTTATTTGGCAGAGACGGAATAAAAATAGAAAGAGGATGGAAACCCAGTATGACACGCAACAAAGGTCCTGGAATGGAAAGGGTTGCGGTTATGTGGTATGCGCTGTAACCATTCAGCTGTTCTCATGTCCTTCCCTTGTTATAATTGTTTGCAGATTTTGGCCCTGTACAAGCATCACAACCCAGGAGCCTCTGCCCAGCCCTGCTGCGTTCCCCAGGCCCTGGAGCCACTGCCAATCCTCTATTACGTGGGCAGGCAACACAAGGTATCCATACCGCAGCCATGTAGCCTCCATTCTGAAGTATTTACCGAACATTTAATGTGAAAGCCACACTTGCCAATGAGTTAACCCATTACTGTTGATTTTCACTTTCAGGTGGAGCAGCTGTCCAACATGGTTGTGAAGTCCTGCAAGTGTAGCTAAAAAATACGACATGGCACACTGCTCCGCGTCCTTTCGAACATAAACCGAGATGTGTTTGAGACCACAGAGAGGGGCATACAACGGAAACAATGAGGTGAATAAGGAGCAGAATAATGAGGACATGGAGAACAACAAATGTAAAGTCTTCAGGATCTTTGTGGTCCAACCTTTCTCCTGAGAGCCACCATTGTCATGTTGAACGCACAAACCATGGACTTCTTTTATCCATATTCTTTTCTATGTGTATATACTTTTTCCTTGCAGTAGTTGAAATATCTGTCTTTAAATGAATTAATTTATTTGTTGGAGGGACAGATCTGTAAAGAAGTGATATACATGTGTAAAAGTTGGACAGATTTAAAGGATTTTTATAAAAACAAGAAGGAGGAATTCCAAAGGATACGAGGACCAAAATGACCTTGATGATTGTCTGGGATAAGTGGTTATTTCCATATAATCTTCCTAATGGGGTCTCAGTTTAAGGTGCTCAATCCCAGGTGTTGGGGTTTTCCTGGACAACAATGCCCCAGGTGTTTTTGGAGAACCGTAAAGGTGAACAGACAGTCCAGCCTGGGAACTCCCTCCAACCGAGAATCTGGAGTCTCTCAAGTCTTTCACGACAACCGTTCTTCAGTTTTACTTTTCTACAGCCCACGTGATTTGTAAAATGCTTTTTTAATACATAGTTAAATGTCAGTCTGTCCTCATGAACCCTCCCGTGCTGTCAGAGCCATGAGTAATATCAGTGGTGGTAAGAGTGATGACACCTTGTTTTTCTCTCTCAGGATTTACAGCCAGCTTGTTGTCTTTAGATGGTGAGGGTCAGGGGCTGTGGTTGTGGTGTTGGGAAGCCATACAGACTCAATACACAGATTTGTTTTTGTTTTTTATAACGCCATAGTAAGTTATAATAAGAGGCAATGTATGCCTTTTATTCCAGGACAGTTCTTTTTCATTTCATCTGTAGTGTGATGCTTTTTGCACAACTCAAGAACGAATTCAGCTTGTTTCACGCTTCAATACTCTTCTTATAGTGCACTTACCATTTGAAATTTGTATTTGTAAATATTTTAACAATTTGAAATAAACATTGTTGTTAAATTATCACGTTAGGGTGGAATATTTTTTCCAAGCAGAATAACACCACACTCGTCAGAGAGCTGTGCTGTGAAGTGTGTGTATGCCGATAGCATTTAGACATGCATTCTTGTCTTCATCATCATGAGGAAACATGAATGAAATGTTTCATCTTGTCAGTGTTTGGGATGTTTTGCTTTGTGACTTAAAAAAATCCCACACCTTTTCAGCTACTTAAACATCTCTCGTGTATTTCCTTTGCTGGTGGGGATATACAGCATGCACAGAACAAATATTATGTTTCTTTCCGCAAATTCTATAAAACCAGGTTGTGCGCTTATGACTGTCCAATGTCAGATCTACCAGTGGAAAAGCTTGGTGAATGCCAGGTGCGTGTGGTCTATTTCTGGGCAGCAGTGGATGTGTGTTTACTCTGGACGGCTGTGGACTGACTGAAGAAGAGCAGCACCTGAGGCAGCGCTCCAATTCCCGGACGCAAAGCCCCGTTCTTGGCACTGCTTTTACATGTAGGGATGCACACCATACCAACATCTCTTTAACTATCTTCGAGGCACCTCGTCCACCCCCACCCTGCCAGCCCCACCCCTCTCCCTCAGTACTCAAGGGATTACTGGCAGCCCACGAGGCTGAATTGGGAGTGAGGAAAGCAGGTCCAGACCCGTTGGTAAGTCCCAGACTTAAGGGCAGTGACTACATGGAAAATTAAACACACATACTGTACACATGCACATGAAAACACTGAACCCACTGACACACAGCCGCGGCTCCAGCACAACACGTCAAATACCTTACATAAGATTTGTGCTCCCGAGGGGTGTGGGGGATGCTGCAAACAAAGTGACAGTGATCTGTGCTATCTTGTTCCAAAGCTGGTCATGTTACCCAGGGTTCTTCTGCAAAGTGCAAGAATCTTCAACACAGAGATCCCTTGTTTGGAAAGAGCTCTCCAAAGGAGGATAAACAAAGTAAAAATGAAACATGATCAACATAATTGAATCCTCTTTTTATCTCACCTCTCAACGTGATCCACACAGATCCCTTGCCAGGTCTTGATTTTTAATGGTGCCGAGGCACAGTACGTACTGTTTTATCTTGGCAGATGTAATTGGAACGTTAAAACGTTTTTAAAACGTTTTTTTCTGCAAGAAAGTAGGATCATTACCTAACCCCAAACAAGCAAAACATGAGTTGTGTTGGAGGAGACAAGATCATTCAAATGTTTCTAAAAATGCCAGCACTTCCACCTGCTTTACTTTCCCTGTAATGACCAAACAAAGAGTAAGAAGAGGCTCATAAATCTATCAGGATGTTAATGGAACACTCCCAGAGGGAAGTCAAACTCTAGGCTTGTCCTTCAAATCAATGTTCATTTCTCGGCAGCTGCTTCCTCCCGAGCCCTCTGGCTGAAGCAACCTGAAACAAATGCTGCATCCAAAGAAAAAGGGCACTTGAATCTTCCTTAGCGAGTGTTACACGAGAGAGAAAAAGTGAAGACGGCTGCCTGCAGCATTTCAGGGTCAAGCAGGTGTTCCTCTACTGTTAATGCAATCCACGTGCAGAGTTTATATGACTTCATGAGTAATAAGAAAATTGCTCTGTTGTTGCACTTCCTCCGAGCAAATAAGTCGATTGTGTTATAAATCACCCTTTAATTGCATGCACATGCTTTTTTATCTGTAAAAGCTCTGTTTCATGTTAGGCTGCGTAAAACATGCACATGCTACAATCTAAGTGGATCAGCCACGCCGCCCGTCTTGAAATGCTATTTTGGGTTCTGTCTTATTACAACACATATGACATTTGCAATTATACGTATGTCCACTGATGTTTTGCGCCAACTGTTTATTAAAAGTAGATCTCTGGTGTAATTCCTGTGGGCTCAGACAGAGCTGACTGCGACCTTAATAACACACTGTGGTGTCCTGCTGCTGCTCCACAAACACACAGCTGCTCACAGCCATTGTTGCTCCAGGTGCTGATTCTGTGCATGCACACACAAATACTCACACATCGACAAACATGGCTTCCTACTCTCTGTTAAAACTCTGCTCTGATTATTATTATCATCAAATGTTTATTTATTTTGATTGCTGAGTTGTTTTTCATTTGAATGTTTATGAAGACTGAGTAATTTCACTGTTTTCCTATCTTATTAATTATCCTTACAAAAAACGATTACGTTTTACTACCTATGTCATTGTTTCGCAATATATCTTTTGGTTAAAATGCTTTCTCTATTGTTTTCATTGATGTTGTTTTTTTATTTCATTACGCTTTTTATTACTTTAATGCATATATTTCCTACCATGAATATTTACACACACACATACACACCTTTTGGAGAAGTGGGGACCGGATACAAATAATGTCCTCACTTTGGATTGGTCCCCACAAAGATAGAAATATAAGAACTGTAACACACACACACACCTTATTACCTTGGCTTTGGAAATGTGTAGCAGTGTCTACACATGAATTGATTATTGAGAAGTTTTGTGTGGAGGCTGAACTGCTGAATGTGCGAAAAGGTCAACGGTGAGTTGACAGATTCCCCCCCCCACTCCACCTGTCTCACCTTTACCGCCGTGCCTCCCCCTTCACACCTGCAGTTTAAGCCGAGATGGTTATCACAGTCTGAGTCAGCCGACCATATCTCTTGCTCTGTCTCTTCCTTTCTCTCACTTGTCCTCTCTCATCTTTAGCCCCTGCCAGCGCTTTGAAGCCCCCCTGGCCGTGTGGAGTTACCACCTGTACCAATCAAGGCAGGTAATAGGGGAGAAAACAGATGTAGGGGACTGAATGAACAGAGAATAATAGACCACACACTTCTTCTCCATTTAGCTTAAGTGTTTTAGCATTAACAACAACATTTTCACAAATGAGAGTCTCTCAAATCCTTTTCTCCAGATGCTGGCTATGTTCTTTTGTCATGCACATAACCAGTAGCTAACATCATAGCCTCGTACGCCGAGGAGGAAAGAGAAAAACTCTTCAAAGTGAAAACTACAAAGGGAAAGTATGATGAACCAGTGAGTGTGATTATAAAACATGCTGCGCCCTGACTCATTTGCTGGACCTCAGTAAGTAAGAAACATCTTCCTAAATAAGGAAAGGCACTAAATATATATCTGGACAGGCTCCGTCTCACAGCAGGCCCGTCTCACAGCAGGCCCGCCCCCCGCTCCGTTTCCTATGTTCTGATTGCGTCTCTTTCTTTTCTCTCTGCTACTCTCTCCCTTTCCCTTTCCATGGACACAAGGGGACACATATAGCCTCATAAACAGCTACCATCGTCCCCGGTAATACAAAGACAACATTGGCCCTGTTGAGATTACACCCAGGGGAGAGGCATATCCTAAATAGCAGTTTATTCTCACATCCACCATGGGTGATGGTGACAGTGGGAGGGGGGGAGAATTAGTGAGGTTTGAGGGTCCCAATAACTTTCTTTAGCAGAACCTCGCTAGCCTTTATTGCCCTAGTGTGTAACTAAATGTTTTTTTTATTAAAAGGTTTCTGGTTTTCTGGAAACAAGGTTTGTTAAAGAGGCCTTTTTATGCTTTTTGGGGTTTTCCCTTTCCTGTACTGTGTTATATCATGTTACACATGTCTGAGCGGTCCAATTGAAGATCAGTTAAAAGGGGGGTGTCGCTAATAAAAAGCTAATCTAAAAGATGTGTCTTGTAGTCTGTTCATAAAAGCTGCTTCGCCCATTTTATTTTGGGGAACTTTAGGAATTTTTAAAAAGCCAGCTGAAGAGGACCTCAGGGCACTTCCAAATCACACACATTGGGTTAAACTGACACAGTGGGAAGAAATATCATCCTCCTGCTCTGTGAATACATACACACACACACACACACACACACACACACACACACACACACACACACACACACACACACACACACACACACACACACACACATTCACATTCACACACATTGTCTGCATCGCATAGTAACCTGACTCTCCTTATTGGATAAATGGGAGGTAAGGGGGTTGCTAGCTTGGTATAGGGTCTGTTTTAGATTAGCCATGATGTCCTGTGTCAGTGGGGCTCTCAGCTGTACTCAGGGCCGCCCCTCAGGCCAATCACGCAGGCTGCAGGGGGCCCCGCCCAGAGGGCCTCAGCTGCTGTGCGCAGTTCTCCGCTCAGTTCTCCGCGCACCCCGCGCGAGAGTGTGACGGCCCGTCCACACTACAGCTTCGACAGCTTCAAAAACGGTTTCCAACGCGTCTGCCCATTCACTTTGAATGGGGTGACGTCACGTTGCCTCGCTTTTCGCCGAACTGAATTGTGGGTAGCATAGCGGTCCGCCTCCGGCGTCAGAAGTTGAACATGTCAGAAGTTGAACAATGTTCAACTTCTGACGCCGGAGACGCCGGAGTAGCCAGCGCCAGCCAATCAAATCCCGTTTCTGAAAATCTGACAGCTCAAGCCCTAGCCAATCAAACCGCGTCTAAGCTGGGAGAGATATCCCGCCGTTCATTTCTATATTTCAAAAAAAGATGGAGGAGAAACTAATTATCGCCGTAGCAAATCACCCGGTTTTGTATGACCAGACCCTCTTCACCTACCGGGATACAAACCGGAGGAACCAGTCATGGAGGGAGGTGGCAGAGACAGTGGGTGAAACTGGTAGGTTTTCGCCTGTTTGGGGAGTTTATATATATATATATATTGCTCGCATAAAATCCCCGGGGTTTTTTGCTTTGTATGTCGGGGGCGGGAGATTCATGTGATTGGTTGTTGGTCGCGTTGCTCGAATAAAATCCCCAAGCTTCAGACACGCCCAGCTCCAAGCTTTTTTTGAAGCTGTAGTGTGGACGCTCCGAGAGATGACAAGGGGAGCATGTCTGTAACCCGACACCGTTGTAATGTATCGACATCTGACCAATCACGGCTTTGATACGGCCACTAGTGCAGGTAAAGAGATGTCGGTGAAAAGACAGTTTCAGTCCGGCGCAAAAAACAAAACATGAAGAAACTAGGGCATCACTCGAAGGTGGGTTATTATTGTATGAGTCAAATGTACAACTTGCGAATGTTGTATAAGTCAAATTGCCATATTAAAACATCAGCTGCAATTCATAACATGAAGAAGGCAGCCTCTGCATAGCATATAGGCTAATGGAGATGCAGTTATTTCCAGCATTCTTTATTTAACATTCATTCAAGTATGTTATGCCTTTTATCTGCTAATGTACAGGAGGA